TTGTCATGATCCTGGGTCTGCTGACCCAGCGTTTTGTGTTTAGTTTATGTAGCCTTCAGGTTTCCTAAGTTTATCATTATCATGCCTAGGTGTTACTAGTTATTTTTCCCTCGTGTTTCCACTATGTTAAGTCTCCCCTGCTTTCATGTATTTTATGTCTGTGGCGTATGTTGTCTGTTCAGGTTGTCATGTTTATATCTCACTGTTTCCTGTCTTATTGTGAAGAGGTCTGGTGTGTCTGTGTTCATCGTGTTCAGTTTTACTCTCCCATTGTCACGTCGTTATGTTCATGTGTGTCAGCTGGTTCCCCATGTGTTGCCACTTCCCTCATTATCCTCCTGTGTCCATTTAGTCTGTGTGCTCTCAGCCATTCTTTGTCAGGTCGTCTGCTCATCCATGTCTCATCTCCAGGTACCCATGTCAGTTCATTATGGTTAAGGTTTTTCATGTTTTGTTATTAGTTCACCCAGTTTAGGTTATTGTTTAGTTTTCCCCCATGCCCTATTATTTTGTACCCTTGTTTCTTGCCTTATTAAACGGCTTGTTTTGTTAATCCACACCACGTTTTGGTCTGCGCTTGAGTCCTTCCCTGCAACACATACGGTCTGCCCCAGCCAGACCGTGACATAGGTGTGTAGGCAGGTAAAACTTATGACTGAAATCTTACAGAGAGAAGAGGAAAGATCAGTGTGTATCCTTTTATTCTGACCTTTTTCTGTTCTGCTGCTTAATTTTTCTATTGACTGAAGAAAAGTGAAAATAATTTGCTTTCTTTTGCCTTTTAGACATTAGTTCTCAAGTCACCATCACCACAAAGACTTTCCTGCGCTACAGAGAACTGAAGGTGTTGTTGGACAGCATCCAAAAATTCTACAACAACATAAAAGTGATTATTGCAGATGACAGCTTAGAACCAGAGCCAATTCACAGAAAAAACATGTTACATTACATCATGCCTCCAGCACAGGTATGTGTGGTAGATCCAAGAATTGGAATCACAGTTGTGTTTACTAAATATGCAATGTTGGTACAAACTGTCAGTTTGAATTTTCTACAAAACCAGATAAATCTCAGATATAATTCAGATTCTTGTATGTATGAATTTAAAATAAGTCTGACCTATGGTGGAACGGTTCACAGCCGAGTGTGAAACGGTGGGAATGAGCACCTCCAAATCTGAGACCATGATCCTCAGCAGGAAAAGGGCAGAGTGCCACTCCGCTTACGCTGTACTGGTCTGTTGTGGTGAAGGGTGAGCTGAGTGTAGAAGCGAAGCTTTCAATTTACCAGTCGATCTACATCCCTACCCTCACCTATGGTCGCGAGCAGTGGGTAGTGAGTAAAAGAATGAGAAATAGGCTTCCTCCGAAGGGTGGCTTGCCTCTCCCTGAGATAGAGTAAGGAGTTCAGCCATCCGGGAGGGGCTCAGAGTGGAGTAGGGCTCCTTCACATGGAGGAGGTGGCTGGGGAGAGGGAGGCTTGGGCTGCTTCTTTCGTGACACAGCCCCGGATAAGCAGAAGAAGGTGGATGGATGGATGAAATTTGTTTTTTGCTAATAAAACAAAAAACAGTGTTGCTTTACAATGACTTTTATTGTATTGATCACTTGAGAGCACCATTACACCACAGTGTAAAAGATTAAAATGTTAAGATTAAGATGTGAAAGATGTTTCCTTCCTCAGGGCTGGTTTGCAGGCAGAAATCTGGCTGTTTCCCAGGTAACCACCAAGTACTTCCTGTGGGTGGATGATGATTTTGTGTTTACAGAGAAGACAAAGATGGAGAAGCTTGTGGAGGTCATGGAGGCGAACCCTGAACTGGATGTGGTGAGAATGAAATAGCTCACATAAAGCATTTGCAGTTTATTTAAAATAATTTGAATAGAACATTAAAATGTAAATATAATACACCCATAAAATACACATGTTAGACTGATGTAATCCTTTTTTCCTTTATTACATCTGATCTAGTTAGGCCTTTTGGACCATGTAGCATGCCAACGTTTGGGGTCTTAACTTCACAATAACTTGCATGGAGCAGATCCTTTATAATCAATGAAGACAAAGGTTATTCTAGATTTTTGGGTTTACTGTAACATCTATTATTAACAAAGATCAGATGAGCAGTTATGACCACGCACAATAAAGTAAAGTTGGTGGAACCAGCTTCTGGACAGATGCATAGGTTACCTGAAAGACTAGTCTCATTTCTAGATTTGCTTTTCAAAAACAAGCATGACAAGTAGTGTCTACCTGAACATCGACTGAACAATATTGGAGCTTGCAGTGTAACAAGATGTTGTGTTTCTTTATTCGTATTAGGTTGGTGGGGCTGTAGAAGAGAACCAGTTTTATTTTACTCTTATATATGAGGAAGGAAAGGAAAATGAAGGTGGTTGCCTATACAGAAAGTCTCAGGGGAAATTCCACTCACTTCCTGGCTACCCACAATGCTTTTTGACTAATGGAGTAGTCAACTTCTTCCTGGCTCGTACAGATGCTGTACAGAAAGTTGGTTTTGACCCTAAGCTACAGCGAGTAGCACATTCAGGTAGGTCCAGATCTCAAAGAAGTTTATATTACAAATGACAGCAAGAGCATTTTGTGTTAAATATTAAATTCCAATTTCTAACTCTAGAGTTTTTTATGGATGGTCTGGGCTCTTTGCTGGTTGCATCATGTAGTCACGTATCCATTGGTCATCAACCCAAAACAACCGACAGCCAAATTTCTATATACGACGAATATAGACACCCGGGAGAAAATGATGAAGAATTCAAACTGCAGCTTCACTTTTACAAAAACAACCTTAAGTGCATTACATATGGATAGAAGATTCATTCAAAGAACATCAGTGTCACTTGTAATGTCATATTGTTTTGTCATGGTCCCAGGGTTATCTGAGTTTAGGATTCTCAGTGAATATAGCTGAGTTTGGCTCTCTGTTTGGATTTTATTCATCAAGATTTTTTTTCTTTATTATTCCTATAGAGATTAATATCTTGTGATGTTGGTGACACTGAATTCTGTTTTTACTTATTTTCTTTTGCTGTTTTGTCATCCTGTGTTTTCACTCATGTTTTCATTGTAAACCTAATACACTGAACTTTAAAACTTTATATATCTTCACAGAAGTACAAAACACGCTAAAATCTAATAGATGTTGTGAGTCATTTATCTATGCTACCTATGTTTATATTTAATAAAACCAAAGAAATAAATATACATACTGTAGAAGAATGAACAGTGTCGTAACAGTAATAGTTCCTTAAAATTTATACTTATGATAGTTTACACAGATGTAATCAGATGCCATAATTTCCCTTCTAACCACATGTTTGAATCCTGGTGTAAATGGGCTAAAGAGTTCACTTTTATAGAAGCAATGTTTACTGAGAGGGGGGTGGTTGTCAGTGAGCTTTAGATGCTGGTTTGTTGAATGGGTTATGTTGGTTTTTTGTTCAGTCTTTTACAGACAACCCACTAGTCTGAGATGTATAGGTCAAAGATTTATCCAAACAGGTGTGTATCTTGACCTCACACAGACATCTGAGTGCCCTATAAAAAGCTTTTGGACCCATCTATTATTTGTTAAGCAGAAAGAAAAACCCTAACTCACATTTCATGTATTGTTATAAGTTATGTAATATGTTTTTTTTTTTTAATAACAATTTAAAGATATGTAGTACAAAAGGCTCAAACAGGTTAAGTTCATTTCAGTGCATGTTTCAGAAACATATTGGAACTGCTTCCCTCTGTTGGCTCTTGTGCTTTGTGTTTATTTTTACTTCATTTAGCTTGTTTCCATTGATTTGTTGCACCTGTTTGGGGTTTTTTACACATGTGTTCCCCACTACCCAAATAAACGTGTGTGTGTGTATTTACTGCCTCGGTTTTCTCTTTGCCTTTCTGTCTCAGCACCTGTTATTCTTACTCAACACCTGTTTCTATTCATGGACTTTGTCTTCTGCAGCCTTTGTGGACATCCTCAAAGCCAAAGTACAGGTTTTTCTTTGGGTCCACATTATCCCCACCCCGTGACAGTTATCACTTAACTCTGCAGCTTTGCTCAGATTACCACAGTTTCATATTGTGATTGTTACCTGTTCCCAACTGTGGTTGACTCACCATGTTGATGATTTTGGCTACAACAGGAAGCTGCTTCCAGTTCTAAAGCATGGCCTGCTCATCACCAAACACGATGACATGTATAGATCCAGATACTCCCCTTAAGAGTTGGGAGAGAACAAAATCACAGCTAAAAGAGAGCCAATACATTCAAATGGCCAGAAAAACAGCTCTGTTTAAAGATATGGTAATTTAAGTCTACTTTGCACTGGTTTCATAAAATGAAGTTTTAGTGCTCATTCTGAAGAAGGTACTAAAACCATTATTTGAGCTCAAAATTACCTCTTTCAATTATGAATCATGATTAGTTGACATTTATAAAAACTATATATAAGTAACTGCATTGGGGGGGAAACTGTGACATTACGGTGATACTGAATGGAGTTATCATTTAAATCTGTAATTCTGCTCAGTTTAACAGTCACATATCGAGTTTCAGTTCATTCGCTATTCTGTCCCCAACTGTGGTTCACCCGTCATGTTCACAACAGGATTTTGGCTACAGCATGAAGCTGTTTTGTGTTCTAAAACATGGCCTGTTCAGCACCAAACACACTAAATCCAGTAAGAGGTAAAGAACATAACTTCTTTCTGTATGGTTAAATATTTGCTTGTTGTAAATAGGGACAAATGTGTAACTACATGCAGTACTGTATGAATAAAGAACTAACTTTAAATGAGGAACTCTTAAGTTTAATCAGATTCTTCCTCTTTTTCTGTGTTAACCCCACACAGATTCAAGACCTGAACCAAGAGGAGCTGCAGTATGGAAAGGAAAGGTACAGTCTATGATTGTATATGACCTAAATTTGTACAAATACCTGTTATACGCTAAGTTAAAAGCAAAGATGCACTCTGGGTAGTGACGTCATACAGTTGCATCGTTGCAAATAGTCAACCAGCACTTAGTTTAGTTGAAGATGAAAACAATCCGTCACACGAGGACGAGAGAGTGACGGAAAACTACTGGTGTCTACGCGGCTAATGCTTGACAATGGCAACAGCGACTGAGAGCGTTTGTTGTAAAGCACCAAAACTTTGAAGCCGTGTTGCTTAATCCAGATGTTCTTTGGGTAGCACTTGTTAGCCTCCATGACCGGTGTCCAGTCTTTAAGTGATAAGATTATGAATCCTGCTTCCGGGCCCAGTCTGCATTTAATAAGACTGTTGTGTTTTTAACATGTTTTAATGCTTTGTATCTTGTTCCATTTAATCTCAACAAGCCCCTAAAAACAGTCAGTGATCACTGTTGGCTTCTCTCGGCTTTTATTTCTGCTAATCACTTTAAAGCTCAGTTTTTAAACCCTTACGATGTACCTACAGCCCAGCCCATGCCACAGTGTGACCAACCTTGTATCGTGGATGGATTATCTCGGTGGTTCTCCTGACTGATGTTTGGTCCGTTTACAGCATCCTGCCGTGCGATTACATTTGCCCCTAACCATTGGGAACCCTCATATTAACTTTTATAGAATTGAAAAAAGTCCTCCATTCATTAGCGTTCGTCCTCCAGCTTTACTGTTTATGTTATGCTAACATGGCTTTGTCGCGCTAGCGGTCACATAGCACATCATTATATACCAGCTAGTCCAACTTCAGTAACCCTACAAACGTCACTGCTGTTTACTTTCCTGTCTTCATTTATGTCGGAAGTGATAGCAGAGCTGTACGTTTGAATTTGTTTCATAAATCCCTTTAGCTGGAAGCTAGCAAGCTAACTCCCTGCTAACTTCTAATTCAGTTAACCCTGTCATGCATGAATTATGACAACCTTAATTTTCTTCTTAAGCATTTTTAGTCATCTTTAGGCATGAAAAGATGAATAAAAATACTTAATAGACGTTGTCATGGGACATGGCGAAGGATCTACTGTATTCAGTCTCTCAACCACTTATGCAAGTTCACTGGCTTGACAGAAATGGTCAGGCCTTGTGTTTAAAAATAATAACGCAACATAAAAATTAAAACGTTCTTCATTCAAAACAGTACTGAAGTTAACATGTGTAATCAGCATAAGGTAACAAAATTTAAAAAAAAAACAATAACAAAAAAGTTGCTTTAAGTATGTTAAATATTTTGGGGGATTCATAGCACATCAGGGTCAAGAATTCACTATTAAATAATATGAATAAATATGCTATACTGTAGTAATGCTTTCTGATCTGTCAACAGGCATTTTGATGGCAACCGCAAGTTAATTAGTGGTTAATTAGCAAGTGTTTTCTTCATTTTTACACCTTCTACATTGAATCCAATATTTTGTAAATAATAATAATAATAAATAAATAAATAATAATAATAAATTAGATAATTTAAGGAAACATATCTGATCAAAACTAACAACATATTCAAAGCATTTTCCTTAAAATGACAGTTCTGTTAGCAAGCAGAAACTGAGACAGGCAGAAGAATAAACAGACACAAAGACAACATATCAAATTCATTGACATAGAAAAGACATTTTGTTGGCAAGCTAAGTACCTCCTAGCAGGTCTTAAAACAGCTCTGGCCCTTGTGGAGAATGCTTCCAAGTGTTAGAGCCTGTGGTAGAAGCTATTTTTTGCCATCTTTTATGCTCCTGAGCTCTTCAGCAGTCACATGGATATGTTGTACTTAGTCAAGATTAAATTTTGTTGAGTGATGATATGAGTTGCTAACTTATAACGTATTCATTCATCCAACATTCATTCAAGTTGGATGTCCAAAAAACTCCCTGAAAAGCCTTCAGCTGATCCAAAATGCTGCAGCAAGAGTCCTGACAGGGACCAGAAAGAGAGAGCAGATTTCTCATGTTTTGGCTTCCTGTTAAATCCAGAATTCAAAATCCTGCTCCTCACATACAAGGTCTTAAATAATCAGGCCCCATCTTATCTTAATGACCTTGTAGTACCATATCACCCTATTAGAGCACTTCGCTCTCGCTCTGCAGGCCTACTTGTTGTTCCTAGAGTATTTAAAAGTAGAATGGGAGGCAGAGCCTTCAGTTTTCAGGCCCCTCTTCTGTGGAACCAGCTTCCAGTTTGGATTCAGGAGACAGACACTATCTCTACTTTTAAGATTAGGCTTCAAACTTTAGCTTAAAGCTTTTTTTCTAAAGCATATAGTTAGGGCTGGACCAGGTGACCCTGAATCCTCCCTTAGTTATGTTGCAATAGACGTAGACTGCTGGGGGATTCCCATGATGCATTGAGTTTTTCCTTTCCAGTCACCTTTCTCACTCACTCTGTGTTCACAGACCTCTCTGCATTGAATCATACTTGTTATTAATCTCTGGCTCTCTTACACAGCATGTCTTTATCCTGTCTTCCTTCTCTCACCCCAAACAGTGTTATGAGACAACTCAGGTGGACCCAGATAGCAGACCACACGGGCACATTAGATGACAGTGCAGATGGTTTATTTACAGTGAAGGAGAAACATTAACATAGTTCAGGGATCGTGTGGGAACTGGAGGAGAACTCAAACGGTCTACGGGAAGGAAAAAGAGTGGCAAATGTGGATTACGTGAGGTAGGAGAGTTGGAGAGCTTACTGGTCACAAATCTTGGTAACAAGCTTGACTGAGCAATGTGAGGAACTGGTGACAGCGCAGGCATTCCAGGAAAAGACAAACTCTGAGGAACAAGCTGGTGACTGTCTGCCAGACCTCTTCCTGTCTGAGTTTCTGAGTGTTTTTGGTGAAAGAAACTGTATTCACTGACACCTTGACTTTCTTTGGAATTTCTTTGTGACTTACATTTTTAAGTCTTATGATGGTCTGTCTCTCTTCCATTGTTAATTGCTTTTTTCTCACCATTTTTGTAGCAACACACTACTTTCTGCAATACAATACTGTCCAACTGATGCTCACAACGGCATGGTACCACAGTGTATTCCAACACTGCTTTTATGCAGACAGAGGGGTTGTTTGTAAGTAATCCAGAGAAGTCAGAACATGCTGGCATTTATTTTTATCCTTAAGGCTAATATCTCATAATTAGCATGTTACACTTGGAGCATATTCGTCTTCTCTCTCTCAAATATTAACCCAACAACAACAACAAAAGTAACCCAACAAAGACCTGTACGAATCGTTGGGATTTATTTTTATCTGTAAGTATAATATCTCATAAATAGCATTGCATATTTGTGTTTTGTCTTTTACTGCACACAGTGTAGAATAGTCTTCACTCACTCTGATATCAACACACTGAGATCCCTACACAAGAATGTGGATGGGAGTTTTAGTACCTACAAGACAACGAGGCCATAAATCAGGTGCTGCTGGTGTGCACTCTCCCTTATTCTGACCAGAGGGCAAAAGATGGTTGCCATAGTAATGGGGCTTTGCTGGCAGAAGGCTTATCTCCAAATAAGGAGATGCTCAGAAAGCTGCAGAGAAAGAAATGTGAGCTGAAGCGCTGGATCTTAGCCAAATAAGGAGATCTGTGGCTTTCCTCCAACTCTTGACCAACTCTTGACCTTAGTATCCTGTTTATCACACGTAACTAAAAGCATTTACTGTCTGAGTGTGGTGCTCTTTTAG